GGAGAGAGAGAGAGATAGCGTGAGCAGCGGAGGGTCAGAGAGAGAGGGAGTCACAGACTGAAACAGGCTCCAGGCGCTGAGCTGGCAGTCAGCACAGAGCCCCACGTGGGGCTCGAACCCACGAACCGTGAGATCATGACCTAAGCGAAAGTCGGACGCTTAACCAACTGAGCCACCCAGGCACCCCGATTATGCTTAATTTTCAACTTCATGGTTTATCAATTTGACCTAGGGTATATTCAGTATTTTTTTCTCATACACCCAAATCCATCAAGTAGTTGAGTCCATTTTCTGATCTCCTATTCAGTAATCCCCCATTATCTGTGGGGAGGATATGTTCCAAGACCCCTCAGTGGATGCCTGAGACTGTGGATAGCATCTCACAGTTCTTGATCAAGCCCTGAGTCGGGCTCTGCACTAACAACGTGGAGCCTGCTTGGGATTCTCTCTCCTCTTTCTGCCGATCTCTCTCTCTTTCAAAATAAATACATAGAGTTAAAAAAAAATAGAACTATAATAATATGCCATAATAGAAGTTGTGTGATTGTGGTCTCAAAGTATTTTGCAGTCTTCATCCTTCTTGTGATGATATGAGATAATATAATACCTATGTGATGAGGTGAAGTGACTGATACAGGTTGTGATGTAAGCATTAGGCTGCTATTGACCTTCTGACCACAGGTGAAAAAAATCATCTGCTTCAGGTCTGTGGTAGACCTGGGGTCACTGGAACCTGGGGAAAATGAAAATGAGGATGAAGGGGAGCTCTCTCTTTTTTTTTTTAATATTTTTTTTTAATTTACTTCTAGGAGAGAGAGAGAGAGACAGTGTGAACAGGGGAGGGTCAGAGAGAGAGGGAGACACAGACTCTGAAACAGGCTCCAGGCTCTGAGCCGGCAGTCAGCACAGAGCCGGACGCGGGGCTCGAACCCACGAACCGCGAGATCATGACCCCACGAACCGCGAGATCATGACCTAAGCGAAAGTCGGACGCTCAACTGACTAAGCCACCCAGGCGCCCCCCGAAGGGGAGCTCTTGAATGGTGCTTGTGTCATCCTCCTGGAATCAGCTACTTCGTTTTCCAGACCTGGCGTGTAGGCATCCATCTGGGACTCTGTCACTGTCTTGTGTGGATCTTTCTCCCACACACATTCCCCCCCTTTATTTTGTTTGATTGAACCACACCCTCATATGGTTCCTTAAGAAAGGGTACAAGGCAGAGGCACAGTCGATTGGGTGACCAACTCTTGGTTTTGGCTCAGGTCATGATCCCAGGGTCGTGGGATTGAGTCTTGTGTATCTCTCTCTGCCCCTCTCCACTCACGCTCTCTCTCTAAAATAAAAAGATAAATATATGGCAGGTAAATTGACTGAGTATAGAATGTCCGAAGCTGCGTTTATTCTCGCGTGGAAGGATAAATTTGACTAGAATATTCTATATGTTGAAAATAGTTTCCTTAAGAATGTTATGGTCCTTGAAGTGCCTGGCTAACTCACTCGGTAGGGCATGTGACTCTTGATCTTGAGGTAAGTGTGAAACCCACGTTGGGTACAGAGATTAGTTAGAAGTAACATCTTGAAAAAAAAAAAAAGTATGGTCCTTGATTCATTGTCTTCTGATACCCAGTGTTGCTTTTCTGAAGACCAATGGAATTTTAATTATAATTTCTTTGTGTGGAAATTTTGTCTTCATTTATAAGCTTTTAGGCTTTTCTATATATCTTGTATTCTGCTATTTTGCAACAAAGAGCTCCTTTTTCATTTATTGTGTTCATCTCTGAGTAGGCTCTATCTGGAGATTCTTGCATTTCATTTCTCAAATGATAAATTATTTCTTTTACAATACTTTCAATATACTCTCTAGAATTTTGTTTAGTTGAAGAGATACTTTTTAGTACAATATTGCTGATATGTCATAGTCAAATATTAGACGTCCTTGATCCGATCTTTATTTTTTTTAATCTTTCCACTCTTTTTGTCCATGCTTTCCTTATTTTATTCTACTTTCTGGAATATTTCTTGGGCTTTCTTTTCCAATTCTTCTATTATTTAAAGGCTTGTATATATTTCTAATTTTATTTTTAAGTAATCTCCGTACCCAACCTGAGGATTGAACTTACAACCCAACCCCAAGATCAAGAGTCACATGCTCTACCTAGTCAACCAGACAGGAGCCCCCATAAGGCCTTATTATTAGCTACCAGTTTCCAAGAAAGCTTGTTCAACCTGGGTTTTCTTTATTTTCAAGACGTTCTTTGTGTATGAGTGCAATATCTTTTATTATTTATCTGAGAATATTGATTTTAACGTTTTGAAATTTTCTTCTATTTTTCTTTTGTTTAAAAATTTTTAATATTTATTTTTGAGAGAGAGAGAAACAGAGACAGAGAGAGAGCATGAGTGGGGGAGGTGCAGAGAGAGAGGGGGACAGAGGATCCAAAGTGGATCCTGATGTGGGGCTCGAACTCACGACCCATGAGATCATGACCTGAGCAAAAGCTCAACAGACTGAGCCACCCAGGTGCCCCCAGGCATTTTCTTTCTTTCTTTCTTTCTTTCTTTCTTTCTTTCTTTCTTTCTTTCTTTCTTTCTCTCTCTCTCTCTCTCTCTCTCTTTCTTTTTTAATGTTTTATTTATTTCTGAGAGATAGCGTGAGCAGGGAAGGGTCAGAGAGAGAGGGAGACACAGAATCCGAAACAGGCTCCAGGCTCTGAGCTGTCAGCACAGAGCCCAACGTGGGGCTCGAACCCACGAACCCTGAGATCATGACCTGAGCCAAAGTCAGACGCTCAACCGACTGAGCCACCCAGGCGCCCCACTTTCTTTTTTTTTAAGTTTTATTTATTTTTGAGAGAGAGGGAGCACAACTGGGGGAGGTGCAGAGAGAGAAGGATAAAGGATCCGAAGTGGGCTCTGTGCTGATAGCAGGGAACCCAATGAAGGGCTCCAATTCATGAACTGTGAGATCATGACCTGAGCTGAAGTTAGATGCTCAACTGACTGCGCCACCCAGGCGCCCATCTTTTATTCCTTTTCTTAAGGAAAATGTTTCTGTTCGTTAACTTGTGCCTCTTCCTCCTCCTCCTGCTTCATTTTTTTTTTTTTGTCTCTGTCTCTGTCTCCCAGATGTTTGAAGACTTCCTCCAAGGTCTTATAATTCCCCCCACCCCCTTGGTGTTTCAATAGATGTTGAAAAGCTATGAGAAATCTGAATGACCTCTTGTCTGAACAGTGGGGTGGTTGGGCAGCAGGATGGCTTTTTTGAGTGTATGGGTCTCTATGAAGAATAAGGGCCTCCTACATAAATAGAATCTCCCATAGAAAATGGATCAAATATTGCTGGATGCCATGGTTTTACATTTATATTTTAAACAATAATAAAAAAAAAAACCTACTCTGCACCTATTATACACTGAGGCTGTAATTAAACAGACTTGCTTTCTGGATACTCAGTTCTTCTCCAAAGCAAGTGAACTATAGGGGACCATTTTACTGGTAGAGAAAAGGGGCAAAAAATGCCAGTGTAGTGATACTCCCAGAGTGACAAAAGCTAATAAATGGGAGAATCTCAGGTCATTCTCAGGTCACTAAGCTCCATACCTGATCCCCTCACTGGCCTCATTGATAAATGGCCAAATCAGCTTCAGGATCTCACATGCTGTCCAGTGTAGATGGCAGTGGGTCTGAGTCTATGGCTGATTAGCGCAACAGAGTCTCATTCTATGAATCATATGATGAACTCAAATGCATCCAATGTTGATATCATGCCAGTACCCTCTGTTATCCCCCTGAGGACAGATATATTTTCTCCCACTAGTTTGGTTCATTGTTCTAAGCTATGAGTTTCTAGGATATTCCTCTATTTAAAAAAATTTTTTTAGTTTAGGGTTTTTTTTTTCATTTTATTTATTGTTTAACTTACATCCAAGTTAGTTAGCATGTGGTGCAACAATGATTTCAGGAGTAGATCCCTTAATGCTCCTTACCAATTTAGACCATCCCCCTCCCACAACCCCTCCAGCAACTCTGTTTGTTCTCTATATTTAAGCCTTTTATGTTTTTTCCCTTTCCCTGTTTTTATATTATTTTTTGCTTCCCTTCGCTTATGTTCATCTGTTTTGTATCTTAAATTCCTCATGAGTGAAGTCATATATTTGTCTTTCTCTAACTAATTTCGTTTAGCATAATACCCTCCAGTTCGATCCATGTAGTTGCAAATGGCAAGATTTCATTCTTTTTGATTGCCAAGTAATACTCCATCACATATATATATATATATATATATATATATATATATATATATATACCACATCTTCTTCTTTTTAAAATTATTTTTGAGAGAGAGATAGAGGTAGCGTGAGCAGGGGAGAGTCAGAAAGAGAGGGAGTCACAGAATCCGAAGACAGGCTCTAGGCTCTGAGCTAGCTATCAGCACAGTAGCCCGACGTGGAGCTCGAACCCATGAACCGTGAGATCATGACCTGAGCCGAAGTCGGATGCTTAACCTACCGAGCCAGCCAGATGCCCCTATACCACATCTTCCTTATCCATTCATCTGTCAATGGACATTTCGGCTCTTTCCATACTTTGCCTATTGTCGATAGCACTGCTATAAACATTGGGGTGCATGTACCCCTTCGAAACAGCACACCTGTATCCCTTGGATAAACACCTAGTAGTGCAATTGCTGGGTCATAGGTTAGTTCTATTTTTAATTTTTTGAGGAACCTCCACACTGTTTTCCAGACCCAGTATATTCCTCTAGAGCAGGTGGACACTTAGGACAGTCAGTTGCCCTAAACCAGGACTGAACTATTATCTCATAGGGGAAACAATTTCAGTGGCGCAGAGCAATCCCAGCAAGACGATGAAGAGCGGCTTCCGCGAGTCAGCTTTTTAGACCAAGCTCTTGGCTCTCGGCTCAGGCTCAGGTAAGAAGTTTACCTCTGAATGTATTCTTTAATGAAAGCTTTGGTCTATTCCTCTTGCAGATCGAAGGTATACTCGCCGGAGCCGCACACACTTTAGTGCAGAACAGCTTCAAACATTAAAACAAGTGTTTGAAGAGACCATGTACCCAGATTGGGCTACCATGATGGAACTTATTTCATCTACTCAGCTAGACGAATCAGTTATAAAGGTATGTCCCTAAGTGTGTGTCTGGATAGAACGCCTAACCCAGAGCTTCACATACACTTCAATCATCACATAATTCCTATTTATTGAACAACTGGTATGTGTCTGGACAATGTCTTATATTTTTATTCTTATGACCATCCATTTTATTAGGGAATGCTAAGGTTCACAGAGAATCCTCCAAGGATTATAAACATAAGAGCTAGTATTTGAACCCAGACCTTTCTTACTCTAGACCCACAATGCTACCTAAGGATGGATCCCAGATAAGCCCATTGGAGTCAGCTCCTGTTTATGTCTACGTTCTCCTTAATCAGAACATTCAGTCATTTAGATGCCTTGCAACTAAGTTTCCACAGAGTATTTGGAGAATGAGAATCCCTTGGTGAATCCCGAAGGCATCCCAAGTCAGATCCCCACTCCATATTCTTGGTCTTCAGAATCATCTCTGAAAACACTGAGCATCCAGAAGACAGAAGCACCTTGTGTTAACCCCTTCTGATCTAGGGGTTTGAATGCTCTGTCCCATTTCATCCATTGCAAGCATAATCCTATGCTCCCTTTGCCTTCTGGAACTCAGGACAGCAGAGGATAGAAGGAATGTCCCTTGTTCAGATGACTATGAAGAGATGCGACACTAGCCTTTTCATACCAAAAGAACCTAATTCCCGAGGAATATGAGGATTCCCCTTTGGACCTGCCCCTCCTCCCCTTTATTAACCTGCTCACCTCCTCTCTCCCCAGACTTGGTTTAAGAACCAGCGTGTCAAAAGAAAGAAGGAACTACAACAAACTGATTCACATTCGTCACTAAAAGCACCAAACCAGATGACTTCAATTAAGGAGGAGGAGTCCTCCTTACCTGCAGCTTCAGAGAACACTCATCCCAAGAGTCTCAGTATTTTGGATACCTGTGACCATGAACTACCGCAGCCTCCTAATATCGAGCAATCTGGAGGAGCTGGTCCTTCCAAGTGGAATTCATCTTGGGATTCCCAGCCACATGATCTCCAACAGATATGTCTGGGGGACTCTGATCCTCCTTGGGCCTCCGTTCCCTATGACATAGATGAGTTTATACAACAATATGCCTTACCTGGGGATGATAATTTAGATCAGTACCTCTCCCCCAAGTGTCCCAGTTGAGGGGATATTGAGATAGGTCTGTGATCCAAATTCTTACCAGCTGAGAGACATTTCCAAATGCTTTCATGGGTCATCTGAAGTCTAAATGGATCAGAGCCCAGGAATTTACCTGGGCTAGAACGAAATCTAGGGTGCCTGGGTAGCTTAGTCAAGTGTCTCTTGATCTTGGCTCAGGTCATCATGATCTCACAGTTGGTGAGTTTGAGCCCCACATACAACTCTGCTGATAGCAGCACCAAGCTTGCTTGGGATTCTCTTTCTCCCTCTCTCTCTCTGATCCTTCCCCCCCCCCCACCCATGCCCGGCCATGCTCTCTCTCTCTCTCTCTCTTTCTCAAAATAAATAAACTTAAAAAAAAGAATCTACCTTTAAAAAATTTTAATGTTTATTTTTGAGAGGGAGACAGAGCATGAGCAGAGGAGGGGCAGAGAGAGAGGGAGACACAGAATCTGAAGCAGGCTCCAGGCTCCATGCTCTGAGCTGTCAGCACAGAGCTGGATGCAGGGCTCGAACTTGTGAACTGAAAGATCATGACCTGAGCCAAAGTCAGAGGCTTAACCTACTGAGCCACCCAGGCTCCCCAAGAATCTACCTTTTATCATTGCCTATAACTTCTGTCCTCTGAGTACCCTCTCAACCAAATTTCAGTGTCAAGAACAGTCATAGGTGCCTTTCGGATGGTAGCAGAAACCAGCTAGTTTTCCATGGGTGCTAGCGTGTCCCAATTGACCTAGCTCCAGGAAAGCTCCCTAACTAAAGCCATATAGACCCAGCTCCCCTGCGCCTGTTCCCCATGGACCATGTTTTTCTCTTTAAAAAAGTTAGAGTGACATCAGCAAGGTGGTGGACTAGGAGGTCATAGCATTTGTGTCTCCATAAAACAGTGGTTTAACAACTAACTACTCACTGATGAAAATAGCTCAGAGGGAGCTCTGGAGTGCAAGCAAGAAGCCCCAGCAACCCAGAGGAACATAAAACCTGAGGCCTCACAGAAAAGCATAGGAGGCATTTTAGCTGTGTCATCCCATCCCCAGTTCTACAGAGTTTGCTGCCAAAGAGGGATCTCCCTGGCTGTGAGGCACTTACCCCCCACCCCCTCCACCCTTCCCACTTGAGAAGAAAAGGAGAGCAGGAAGACGCCAGCAGCTTTCACCACGAGGCCCTCAGGGACACCTGCAATTTTTGCCACTGAGTACTCACCCACGTGGATCCCAGCTGATGGAGCTGCCCAGAGTCCAAGCCCCTGAGCCTCTGTTGGAAAAGGTTATAGAAAAGATAAGACTGCTGGTTGACCCATGAGCTGGACATGGGCAATCAGAGGCTCCTTGCCCCCTCCATGTCCCTGGAACGTGCATTCCACTTGCCTTTCCCCATACCCAATGTAAATTCCCTCATTTACTAAACCTGTTATTTACCAATCTGGAGTAGTCTGCCTCTTTCTTCTGTCTCTCCTTGCTCTCTGTATGGTGGCTGGTTTCAAATCATATCTGGCAAGCTCCTGGGGAGCTTGCAAACCAAGAACCCCTGCAATAGGAGCTGAAACTTCAACCCCGTCCACACTGGTCCTGATCCACCACATGAACACCCACACCCTTGCTGGCTAGGTGCTTATTAAGAAACGGGATAAGGGGAGCCTGCGTGGCTCGGTTGAGCATCTGACTTTGGCTCAGGTCATGATCTCATGGATTGTGAATTTGAGCCCCTCATCAGGCTCTCTACTGTCAGCACGGAGCCTGTTTCAGATCATCTGTCCCCGCCCCCCCCCCGCCCTTGCCCCACTTATGCTCTCTGTTTCTCAAAAATAAAAAGAAATGATATGAATACAATGTTTCCCCAAAATAAAAAAAATTGAGATGAATAAAATGGACATCGATGGAGTTCAAACAAAGATTTTAATATAGTACTACCCAAGGTTGGGCAGGCCAAAAGGACCCCTCTGGCCTCCTGACATTAAAGAACCCCAAAGGAGCCTGTTCTATTTACCCTAGTTCAGAGAAATTCTAAAAGCCATGAGTCAAAGATGATAATGAGAAACCTGCCTTGTAATGAAGATTGGCAAAAGGTCTCTAGGCTCAACCTCTCCCTGGAAGCCCAAAGTCTCTTGCACAAGAGTGGGTAAAATGGTTAGGGGGTGGAGGAGTTTCCAGACCTCGTTGACATGGGTACCAAAATCCATCTGATGCAGGCTACAATCAGACTGAGAGAACATGAAGATACAAGGGTTGGTGGGATTATGGTCATTGAAATGTTTCAAAAGGATTCCCATGCATTGGTGGTGTTATGATGTGGACGTTGTGTCCAAGTGGGGAATGATTCTCCTATCTCATACAGTAAACCAGAAAGCATGTGAATCTGCCCTTCCATCCACAATATTAATTGGAAGTGCTAAATCCAGAACCAGTAAGATTGCCCTAGACCCCGCAGTGCAGAATGGAAGCCTGAGTGCCGGTAGTACAAATTCTCTGTGCGATTGCCCTATGTCAAGTGTAGACTCGGCCTCCTGGCAAAAGCCTGTGAGCATCTCCCAGTAATGATGACTGGGGTCTGGACCAGAGGATTCCCACTTAAGAGGAAAGCTTGCTATCCCTATGAGTTTGCTATTGGACACAATGGAAACTGTCCTTCTGACTAATGGACCTTAAATCATCTTGAAATCAGAAATACCCATAATGTCTTGGGTGACGCTGGGGAGATGCTTTACTGGAGATGTCAGTGCCCAGAACATTCCATAATAAAATGGAAATCATGTATTCAGGATCTTGCTGCCTGGGGAATGCAAGGAGACATGAGAGAGCCTCTTTTCTTCTAGAAGAGATTTTGGAGCCATGAGAGGAGCCACTGGACTCTGGTGTTACTTGGACAGTGCCTTATAAACAGCTCTCAGTTGATTGACCAAGTACTGCTTAAGCCTGTGGCCCAAAGTTCCAAGGTGAATGGAGAGCATCCTGTTTGGAAGACAGATGCTCTGATTGAAGAAAGTTAAAAAAAAGTCAGCTCAGTGGGCTGAATTGCATGTTTTCCTAGCAGAATGGAGGATTTGACCGGTAGAATAGGTCCCTGTATTCAGGTTGTTACTGATTCATGGGCAATGGCCAATGGCTTGGCTGTATGGTTAGGCAGAAGAGCAGCGGAAACCTTCCCTAATCAAGGGATGCCCGAGAGGGGGAATGGGCCTAGAGAAATCACTATGGGAATTTGAGGGGTGCATAAAAGTAGGACATGTTGTTGCCCATCAGAAGAATCTCTTTCCAGACTTGGAAGGTGATTGGATTCAACAAGTGAATATTGCTGAATGCTTGCTTCTAGAGGTCATGTAATGAGTAGATATTTCTTTTTCTTTTTAAAATATTTTTTGGGGCACCTGGGTGGCTTAGTCGGTTAAGCGTCCGACTTTCCCTTAGGTCATGATCTCACGGTTCGTGGGTTCGAGCTCTGCATCGGGCTCTGTGCTGACTGCCAGCTCAGAGCCTGGAGCCTGTTTCAGTCTGTGACTCCCTCTCTCTCTGACCCTCCCCTGCTCACGCTGTCTCTCTCTCTCTCCTAGAAATAAATAAAACATTAAAAAAAATAAAAAAAATAAATAAAATATTTTTAATGTTTCATTTATTTCTGAGAGAGAGAGAGAGAGAGAGAGAGCATGAGCAGGGGAGGGTCAGAGAGAGAGGGAGACACAGAATTCGAAGACAAGCTCCAGGCTCTGAGCTGTCAGCACAGATCCTGATGCGGGGCTTGAACCCATGAACCGTGAGATCATGATCTAAGCTGCAGTCGGACGCTTAACCGACTGAGCCACCCAGGCGCCCCTTCTTTTTCTTTTTAAATGTTTATTTATTTTGAGAGAGAGAGAGAGAGAGACCAGGGGAAAGGCAGAGAGAGGAAGAGAGAGAAAATCCCAAGCAGGCTCCCCACTGGGAGCGCAGAGCTCTAAGTGGGACTTGATCCCACAAACTGTGAGGTCATGACCTGAGCCAAAGCCAAGTGTTGGACACTCAACCAACTGAGCCACCCAGGTGCCCAGATGAATGGATATTTCTACAACAATGCAAATGTGGGCTGAATCTAGATCCATTCCCCTCGCACCCTCTGGGTACAAAAGGCCAATAAGAGCTGTCTTATCTGCCAACAAGAGACAGAGTCTACAGATCCCTATGTGGCAGATTCCCTAGGGGTATGAACCTGGTGGTAGCTGGTAAGTGAGACTGATGCTGGTAGCCCTGAGGAGTCAGGGAGGGGACTACAGATGGGATCTGGCAGGAATAGACACTGACTTGGGACCGGGTTTGCCTACCCAGTGGCAGAAGGACTTGTACATGTTCCTGAAACCCCAAGTTTGGCTGCCCATCAAGAGATGAGTTTTGATCGGAAAGGAATATGAGCTTTATTCGGGAGACCGGTCACCTGGGGAGGAGGCAGACTCTTGTCCAAAGGCCAACTCCCAGGTTTCGGCCTGGCCCAGAGATTTTTTAACGGGGTTAAGGGAGTGCAGCAGTCTGTGACATTTCTTGATTACGTACAGACTCAATGGTGCCAGCTACAGAGTTATCTCAGAGCTTGGAAGTTGTGCAAGAAGTTCTAGTTCCTTGGTGCTTGGAGTTTGGGTGGGTTGTGCAAGACGGTCTGGTTCCTTGGTACCTGGGGGTCATGTGACAGTACTCTGCTCTTTCCAAAAAGGAGGGCAAGGTCTATAGGGAAGCAGAGAGGTCAGCAAAGTCAGTCATGTGACCTTAAGAAAGGAAAACATTTCGCTAAAAGATTGCTAGGCTCATCAGAAAGCTAAGGGGCCTTCAAACAGACTTGCTTGTCCTCTTTGGCCTGGGGACATTTTGGCCCTTTATTCCCCAAGGCCAGTGGTCTGCATATCTCTAAGAAAACAAATTAGTTCTGTCACAGATCAAGGGCCTTAAGTTAGCCAGCAAGGAGTGTGTTAACTTGAAGCACGTTAACCCTTCAGATCGCCTGGAGTGCTGTGATCCTAGGGCATCATAGAGAACTAGAAGATG